AATCTAAATTCATCTATTGAGTTCGTGATAGAGTCCGAAGTCATAGTGAAATTAGATACATTGGTTCTTGAGGATATTGGCATATTTTTCACCAATAATTCGATAAGAGAATTTCGCTGTTGCAATAAAGTTTTTAGATCATCAATTTTATTGTTATAAAATCCACATTAACTGAATATATAGGCGTAGATTCGTTTTAATCACCGTCAGCATTGTTATAACTTGTGGTTTGTACCTTTGATTCTTTGTTTTTCACCCCGTCGCCAATTGTTATAATGCTCGGTTTTTACTTTGGCTAATGTTGTAACGGTTGGGTTTCCACGTTACAGTAAGTGATATCCACACTGAGGTAGTTTGTCATGATATCCAGCTCTTAGTGAAACTATCTCAGATAGAGATAGGCGCTATTATTCACTCTCGATCCAGGAGAATGGACCTATATGCAGAACACTCCAGAGAACAGTTCGACTGACCTTTAGCCACACTTCAGTTACCCATCATATTCAAGCATCCTGAATGAAAATTGATGTAAGTTGAAAAGGCTATAGGCAATCTCAAGCAAGAGAGAGATGAAGGCCTGATGGACTAACCACTGGGATTTTAATGATGATGGTCCAGTTAAGGGAATCAGGCTAACTGAAGTCTTAGCTAGAATGTGGAAACTGGACGTAATGACATCCGACTGGTTACAATTGCTGATCGTTCCAATCTATAAGAAAGGACAAAAATCGTCTTGTGACAATCACAGAGGAATGAGTTTAACCGATATATTGTCTAAAATGTTAGCCTCAATCCTGCCATAAATAATGCTAGAACAAAATAACACATTTCTTGATATCGTTTGTGAAGTTCTTACTACATCAAACACAGTAATTTTCTAGTTTACTACTTTGTACATTTCACGATTTTGATTCAATATTGTGTTATATAAATGAAATTCCATCAAAACCATTATGCAAAGTACTAACAGATGGAGTCGTGATTACACACTACAGAGTCTCACACTAGAACACAAAAAACTGAACAATACTTCTTGGTATTCGATGTTTATTTGATTGACGTCAATTTGTGACGTAGACCATAAAACTGAACTGTTCCCATAACCTCATGTTCTTCATATTTACACAAGCTGTTTAATTTATGGAGAAACATAATAAAAATAAAATTTATTCCTGTATTCAAAAATAATACTCCGCGCCTTTATAAATGGAATCTATGAATAAATTTCAGGACTCCAAGTAGTAAGTCTTGCTGAACAACTCAGTAGGCCGGAGAAAAAGCGAATAAAATTGTTTCATTTCACAGTTAACTTCGTGTTGTGACCTTAAGTCCGGCTAGTTATCACGTGACTTATTCGCCAATCGGAATACGACTTATACAACTTTAGCACTGTTTCAAACCAATGACGTCTGATCGGTATGAACAGCTCAGCGTAGTTACTGGTCCCTTTTCCTTCTAGCCTTGCCAGTTGAGTGCAGAACACCGATAACAGCTTCCACTATGCGAATCATTCATTTCAAACATACTTGGTTTATATACAAGCCAAACAGACTTCATCACACCCCGAAATAGGAAATAACATTGATGCAAGATCTGGTCAAAAAGTGGCTGTGATTGTGGGAGACGGTAATTAATAAACTGAACATAATTTTAAGAACGGTAAATCGTATAATGATAGTCTATAAGTCAAAATGAGGCTTATAATAAAAGGAATATAGATATACACAATCTAGTTACTGAATAGTTATGCAATAAGGATATATATACAATATTAGTCCATTAATAGTTTTCAGAAGTTACTCGTAATTTAATCTTCACTAGGATATAACAATTATATATTTTTTCATGTCATATTTTATGCAAACAGCTTGGGAAAGTTTTTATTTTCTCTGTGTAGAAGACGATAACTGTTCAGTTTGTGCTAGTATACCGTGCTTTGACATTGTCATGTATCAACAAATTAGGTCCCTATAAAGAGCGAGCTACACCAGGTAGCTTGAATTTTTGAAGAAATCAACCCATTACAATAATACCTCGAATATCGAACAAACGTATCTTGTATGTTTTTTTAATGTCTGTTGACTTTGGAAGTATTCATTGTGACTACTGAATAAATAAAAGTAAGCATACGTTTTCTATAAAATATTTCGAACTCTCGATCGAAAGCTTCAAGTGCATAAAAATTTGGAATGGATTCCTCTTCCTTTAAATGAGAGTTTCATTCAAGATTGACATGTATCAGCGTCTAAATTATTTATAAGGCATGAAGTGGGAGATATTGCTGACTACTTAGCTCATCTTGAAAGTCTTCAACTAGATGCTTAGTTTCAATATTATATGATACGTTTTCTTTTACGAATTCATTTTGCCTTTCAAAAATAAATTCCCTATATCTAGTCTTTTTTAAACTCCGCCTGGAGTCCCTCCGGAGGCTACTGCCGGTCCAAAGCCCAGATAAAGGAGGAGGGTTGGGCATGGGGTTAGCGACTTCATCCCGTAGAAAACTAACTCGCTAAAAAAACGCTAACCAGAAAAAAAGTAAGTCTGTTTCTAAGTCATTACTATCATTATTGTTCTGGTTAATTTTATCTAGTTGTGATATCATTAGGCAACTTCGATAGACGCTTATTTTGTTCAAGTCTTCGTTGATCATTACCGGACTCGTTACCAGTGTATAAGCAAGACTCTTGGTACCTTCTAGTTACGTATTGAGGATGTCAAACTAAACGTAATTTTAGCTTAGACCCTATTAGTTAGTTCAAAAACAATAAATTTGTACATTTCCATCTACTGATTAACAACTAATCAAATTAGAGTATACTATGCTGCTGTATAACTGATTATAACAAAGAAAATCAATACAGATTAGCATATCAGACTGTGAGCCACGTATGCCTTTTGTAAACAGTAATGATATTCTCTAGTGGTCCAAATCTCAACAGGTATTTTATTGTTATAAATAATAAACCCAATAGTTTGAAATCTGTTGCCTAATAAATTTGGTTATTAGTGATTTTTAGTATAATGGTGTTACAAACTATTGAAAAAGTTTGATATATCTCAACATCTTTGAAAAGTATATATATATATATATATAAAGTTGTATGCTTAACTACGGCTTTGTAAAACATATTCAATTGGACCATTAGGACATGACTAATCAGATAGTTAACATACATGTGAGTAGTCAATCATGCGCTTATAGTGAGCAAGTACACTCTGTGATAATTTATGCGTAAAATTGAACAAGAATCAGATAATCAATTAATAGTCACTTTGTTCAACCCAAATGTTATGGTGAAAGTTGGTGAATATAGTCATTAAAATGATGATATATTCACAAAGTCAATTTGAACTCGTTGATCTACAATTACTTAAGCGAAATGGATGTCATTTAAGGTGATTCTACACAGACTGCAGATAATCAAACTCCCGAACCTGAACTCACATAGAATAGAACAGAAAACTAAAAGACACCGGATAAGCGTTCGTCCTAGTCTAAGACTATCAGTTATGTTCACCAGCAGTCCTATATAAGACTGAATTAGGTATCTTTCCGTCATATAATAAATAAGACACTGTTGAGTTATTAAATTAAAATTCAATAGTTTGTAACTTCAACTTCAAGCTATTTGTAAATAGTCGCATTTTTATTCATTTTTGTTGCTCAAGTTTAATGACAGATATATTGTTACTCTTTACTTATCCATGATTGACTGATCTCTTCCCTACCATAAATTAAACGGCTTTCAAATCCAAATAATATCTTCAAGTAGTGATGATAACATGTGTTTCTGTCGAACAACCTACGTGTGCCTAAAATTTGAAATAAATAAACTGGTCCCGTAAACAGCTTAACAAACGAAACAATGATCATAGATAAATTCACTGGATGTTGTTATACTAGTATCTTCCCATTGTTATTTAGGACTGCTGACGAGTCCCAAATGGGACGAAACGCGCGTCCTGGATTCCACTGCTAGCCACTATCCATCTCCGCTTAATGAGAATAGATGTTGTATAAAATTGGTCAGCATGTCAACAACCACTTATTTGACTTCATAAAATAGAAAAGATGTTGCCAAAATACATTATAGATTACTTGATATTCGATGTTAACAATACTTTCAATTAAGTAACCGAATTATTTATTCTATAATACTACTACTGTTTAGTAATTTGGAAGAAGTTACTATTTTATAATGATGAAAGAAATTAATCATCATCCGATACAAACGAAATAAATTAACAGGACTTTTCACTTAGTAAACGGTGATAATTCCAACTTGATAAGTTTTCATTCATAAAATCACCAAATCATCAGAGAAAAACTAGATACCACAGAACAGCTGTAAACCATATAAGTACTATAACGATGCTCTTAAACAAATTGTGAAAGAAAATTCAAGTGACTCTTGATGTGAACAAAAAAATAGAGAAGACATGGCAAACGACAGGAGCTATTTTGTGGGATGTTATTTCACTCAGTTCAAAATTTTAAAATACGAACAATCATTTTTGTGAGAAATCTATTCTATAAACCATAAGCTTTCGTTTACTGGATGACTCACTGCCATACGGTTTTCTGTTACAAACTATTGTAATTTAAACGTAACCTTTTGTACTCTATTTTTCTACCGTAATCCCCAGCTTGGACACAATTGCATTTTTCTAGTTGTTTGTGCGTTGTGATCATGTAAGTCATCTATTTATTCGTGTGTCTTTTACACTGATCCAAATCAGAAATACACCGAGTAGTGCTTTATTTGACTTGTCTTCACTCACGCTTGTCAACCAATCAGGTAGTTTTCGTCACTGTACAAGGCCATTTGAGTTCAATTTGGACGCACACATTCCTAGCCCCAAGGTTGGATCAGTTAGCCTATCGTGTGAAGGCCTTATATAAGATCGAAGCAAGTTCTCTCTAGAGTATTATTGAGTAACCAGATCAAGGACTCGAGAAGAAAAGCTCACTTAAAATTCAAGCAAAAAATACTTCCAAGACTTAATTAAAATGTCTTCAAATCAATTTCAGTTGAACAAATCGACAAACAAAATAATCATCCATAAAAACAATAAACGCCAACAACAACTACTAACATCTAAAAATTGATGAAATGAAATTCAATTAATTGTATCCGTACAAATTGTGCAAGGAATTCCAGGAGCTAACGACAAAAATTAAAGTAATTACGATCGGCTAAATAATAGCAATAGTAATCAGTAGCAGCAGTGTTTGCTACTGTGGTAGCGTTTACTTAGTACTTGTTTAAAAAAAAAAAACGGTTGTTTTAAAAAATAACATTTTTTGCTTATTTCGTAAAGGAAATGGAAGACGATTTAGAAAGTAACAACAGGAAAACAAATATAAGTAATTTAGGAATAAAAAAATCAAAGTTTCATGCTCAAGCATCTGATCATAGTGACAGCTAACGCAGGAAATAGTGAAACAGTCATTAAATGAATCAAAAAGTTAAATAGAAAAGCAGTCAAACTTAAAATTACAGATTTAAAAATAGTATATAGTGTATACAGATTAAAGAATATGATAATATTATAACGAGACTATTTGTGATGTTGATACTGATTCCTGTTGCACAGGCAAAAGATAATGTGTCACTTAATACGATAATTGATATGCATATGCTTCGAACTGTTATTATTACAAGTTATATATGGTTGTATTAACTTACAAGAATCACAACAACTTTCTTGTACAATATTACAAACTGATACAACAAACTAGTAAACCTGAATACCGAATAATATACTTGGAATGTATTAGGCCACTGAAGAAAATTAATAATTTTCATACTTTGTTTTTCTAAGTATACAAAAATAAACAAGTTGGTTTGTGAAGGAAGTTGAAATCTTTGGTGCAGTGTGTACATGCACACACACACACATACAACAAACAATATTGAAAACAATTTAGTGAGACGATTTAAACATAAATTCATTGTCCACTTACGCCGTTGCAACATTAGAGATGAATATAAAGCTAAATATAGATGAAGTTGGCAAATGGATACATATGTATGAATAATCATCCACAACAACAAAAATTGTTTATTGTTTACAACATTGTAATAAATAGGAATATTATAGTTTCTTTCGACAAACAAAACAAAACACATGAATGATTTGTATCAGAAAATTCATGATAGAGAATTTGTTTTTAAACAAAAGTGACTAATATCAAATGACAGAAGAGGAGAAATGAACATGAATTACATATTTTATTCATAAATAAACTACTATTACTACTTACATATGACAAAAGTAGTAGTAGTTAGAAGTATTATAAACATAATCAATTACAAGGGATTTTCATAAATTTAGCAGTTTCTAATTGTTTAAAAAAAACCTCGAAAAAAGTGGGAGGATATGGATAATAATTTCTGTTGAGTAGAAAAAAAACAAGCACACTTAGAGTTGAACACAAATCGATTATTCTACATAACAGTTACATTATCAGTATCTAATTCTAATGTAGAATTATTCGACTTAGAATTAGCATCAGGTGGTGGGGGTCGTTTAGGTGGTAGATCTTTATTCAGTTTCGATTCATGAATAGTTGGTGGTGTGATCATTTGTGATGGTAATGACAATTTTTGACTATGATTAATGGTTGTTAATTCTGTGCAGTTTGTGGTTGAGCTACTTATAATTTGTGGAAGACTTTCATGATGAGAATGATGAATTAATACTTCTGAATGACTACTGCAACAAATGTTGTTACTATCACCATTATTTTTGTTTTCTATGTCAGTGCCAGAGGGATTTTCTGATTTTTCAGGATCATTATTATTCACATGAGTTATTGAATAATTCGTTGGATTTAAAAGAACTGGTGGTTTTGGAGCAGCATTTTTCTTTCGTTGAAGTATAGGAGTAGTACTTAAATTTGACATCCTTGTAAGACACATAAACCAAATCAAACAACGAAAAAGGTAATCTAATGCTGCGAAAAAAATGACACGAGTAGGAAAAAAAACTAAATATACTCACTCGAATACTATATACATATGCCAGAGAAACTTCTGAGCTGATTACCAGGTTCTTAGTCTTTCGAGACAGTGTTTTTGAAGAGATACCTGGTAGATCTTTCATTAGTAACGATAGTCCTGGCATAAAAAATCTACGGACTTTACGGAAGTGCACCATATATTATGTCAAATATATATAATACTCAATGTTTTTCGGCGGGAACGATTACTGCGTTTAACTAATAACTTACTCATAGAATATTTCTTCTGAAACATTTCAACTTTGTTTTATGTATACGTAAAACGCTGAACGGCAAATGTAAAACTACTATAATAGATAAATTTGTATAGATTCCACTGTTACTTAAATGATATTCCAGAAGAGTCTAATATTCGTCAACTATTTACAAAACAACCTTGCTCACAAATAAGAAAGGTAGACCAGACAGTTCAAATCAAGAGGAATGCTGTTAACGTACAATAACACGAACTTTGTGAAATCAACGCACAGGATAATGAAAATGTACAAACTCAATTGTAAATGTCCAATTTTGGGTTGTGGGTCCAATCTATTTTCAAGAAGCGACAACTTGCTAAATGCTAGTTTGCATGAAATAAAGAAAGAAATGTCTAGGAAAGTCGTGTTACACACCAGTCCCGAATTACTAGATTTAAAAAGCTGTATCAGTTCAAAAGCATGTCAGTTGCTGAAAATTGAAATGCGTATATAAGTTTGTCAAACGACCAGGTTATCAGAAAATACCTTTACAGTTATAGATAACACAGGGAAGTATACTGTAGATACGGATGTTATCGGATACAATTGCTCTTCTAGATGCAAAATGACGTTATTAAGTCGACATCTTATCAACTAAGCTCTTCAGTTCAATGAACTGATCAGCCAAACTAGTTCTTGTAGAAAACGATGGGTTTAGTTCAGCGAGTATTTAAACCCTAATGAATTACAACAACGAATACCAGACACGGTAGTCCAACGGCAGCCAACTAGAAATGATAAAATAAAACATATCAGTCAAATATTAATATATTATCAAGAATTTTGGCTACTAGTCAACTACATGTTACATAACTTATCTAGTTCAGTCGCTGCACCCGTTGATCCAAGTTCAATTCTTGATTTTATTCAATCTCTATTTGGTACAATTGACCATTTGTGTAACAAGACTAGCGAAACATTATCCATTTACGTAGACAAAAAAATGGAAGAAATCAACAGTAAAAATGATGGTTTCGAAATGTAGATCTGTATTTTCCTATATCCAGTAATATCACTGCAGACAAAGGTGAAGCGAACGTGTATATGTGAGTGAACTATGAAATCCCTACACCTAGTGGAGAATCTAACGATGACAATGTTGATATTTGTGGTAAATGTTGTTTGCTCCGACCGCCAAGAGTCGAAAGCTGTCTTAGTGAACGGGTCAGATGTTCAAGATGAAGCATATTCAGTCATCTAGTCTGTTCTGCAAGGACCGCTGGAGGTGACCTCCTGTGTGGAGAATTCTACGGTTATGATAAATAGTTATGGGTTCTGTACGTGGATACCACACTTAACGATACATCTCATCTCAACAAGCGTTCAGTAAGAACGTAAAACGACCCTTTCTAGACTCTCCTCAACAAACTGATTTAATACTCCAGCCTTTTTTTCATTCAATGTATTAATAGTCCGGTCAATAAATAGAAATAGCTATGTAAAAGCTGTTTACTAAGTGCGCACCACATATAGTATAGAAAATATCAAGTATAATTGGCTAATAATAAGTGTGAATTTCTGCATTAATGACCTTTACATAATTTGTTGTCTTAATTGTGATCAGTATGTTTCCTAGACAGATAAAACTATTTTTAATGTTAAGCAGTTGACCTGTATCAGACAGTAAATATAAGCTATTCTACGTCTGATACAACTGCGGTTGTATTAATTCTCTGTTTGACATGATTTTCATATTTTTGTTTATACGTTACTGACACCTCATTTCACCACTGAATTCAAACTAGTGACGTTAACGAAATATGTGCGTACAATCTGAAGGACATGTTACAGTAAATGATTCATTCGGCGTTGTAACGAAATGAGAATTATGAATTAAATTTGTGATGAAATTAATAACAACTTACAACTGAGTATTATATTACACTTTACATAACATAAGGTAAAATTTTGTATAATTAGGGTTGTGCAGTTTAAGAAAATGTCATTGTCCGAAACAACATTTTCTTCACTGGAACACCAACACTTTTCAAATTATTTCATTGAATTCATGAAGCAATCAACGTTAGACTGCCATTGAAAACCTGGAAGGATAGTCCGAACGTATCGTCCTGGAACAGGACTCTTCAGTAGTATTCATCCACAATCCCATACGTGAGACTCGAACCCAGGACTTTAGGTCTCGCGTGAATCATTTAATTGTTCCTAGCTTGAATGTTGTAGATAAAGGATATGTCTATCATAATTAGCTTTAAAAAGTGGTTATCTTCAATTTTAGCTGATTAGGTTCATTTATATTCGGGCAAACTAGTAAATATGATCACGATAAACTTGCGCTTAGTAAGAGTGAACTTTCTAATCCCATTCAATTACTTTGTATGTACAGTGTATTACCAAAGAGATTTTATACAACATCTTGACATTATACATATTTCATCTATGCAACAGTTGACAAATGAACAGTCTCAAATGATTTTTATTTTTTATATCATTTATACGTCTAGTGACTCAGTTGACATTTATCTCATATACAAATTTAATCATAGTGGGATAATCTAAAAATTACTATACATAACGGAAAAACCTTAATCTCGTGTCTACACAATAGATGATAATGAAAATGACTATTCTTTTAATTTCAGTATCATTTCTTGTAATCGTCTAGTAATGATGATCAGTATTTGAAATAATCACTTGTTCAAACACGTTCAAATGTTGCTTTTAAGTAGAGTAAGACTATGAAACGTGGTGGATCAAGTGAACTCTTTGGACAGGTAAACAATATACATAAATCCAATTCATTTTAAGTGACATTACAACACACTATCCTACTACTTACTGTCGCTGAATTGGTTCACATGATTAATCTCTTCATATGAAGCTGATGACTATGTCATGATCCAATTTATTCGCTACACACATACACATTTTAAATTTTGTTGGCATACCACATCAAATGACTTGAATTGTCACTATACATAAAACTAATTGTTAAACATGTTTGGACAAGAGTTCAGCATTAACTTGTGTTAAGCCTTGTATATCGTCGACAATTATCATTTTCATTATTGAGCAGTTAGCCCACTAACAAAAGTTAAACACCATTACTTGTCTTACTCACTACTAATTAAAGTTTGTTACTTGGAGAATACATTTTTCCAAATAAATGAACCAACTGAGACAGCGACTTGTAAACCTACGATTAAAACCAACCAATGAAAATGAGGCATTATCGACAGAACCCACCCAAACAAACTGCAATAAAATAGTGGGTATTAGTGAAACAGTGATTACATAATTTGTATGAATCATATAGTAAGGTTAGATTGGACCAATCACGTGAGTGATTTATTAAAAAACAGAAAAAGAGAAATAATTGAATTCGTTGAGCATCACATCCTTAAACTTCAACAACACGCAGTCTACGAATTACTGGATATTCTTTAAACTAGGATAAGTATCTATCCTAAAAGATACGAGAAATAAAGTGCGTATTATTGAAGACCACTACTAGAAAGAGCAACCAACGGAAAGTTAACCGTTGAAAGAGGGAATAAAATTTTAAGGTTATGAAATCTGTCCGATTCGTCCTCTGTCCCTTCGCCTATACAATCAATCAAAAACGTAGTTTCCTAGACGTCTAATGAAGAGTCAACTTTCAAAAAAATACTGTAATTATTCGAATATGGTGACAATTTGTTATTGTTGTTACTCTGGTCATTTTATTTCGTATGTCTATTTGGAACACCTATGGGATAATCACTTTAGAGAAAGGTTTGGAGAGTGCTTGAAACGTGTTTGGTGAATTTCATCTCCAATGAGTTTTAAATGCCTTAAATTTAAAATTAAAAAGGTCATAAACGATATTCATTCCCCAAAACATTTTGTGCGCTCTTGCAAAACTAAATGAACTATTCTGCAGCTTATTAATCTCTGTAATAATTAGAATCAAATGAGCAGGTTTTATTGAATAATGATTAGATGGGCATATAGAACCTAGCATTAACATATGATTATTAAGAATTATTTTTCCAGTTAAAATAATACTCAGATTTACAGTTGACAAGCAAAAATGTTTAAACTAGTTAGCTTTTACTAAAAATCCAACTACACTACAATATCTTATAGATAAGTTCGCTGCAGAGGCATAAGCACTTCGTTTAGAAACTTAAATACGAATTCACAGGTCGTGGAAATAACACTGTCGAAAACAAAGTTCCCTGTCTCTAAATCATCAATAATAATTATTTTCAGGATTTCATTCTGCTATAAATTGAACAGTATAAGGGAATATTTTAAAGCAGTCGTCTCATAGGAACTTTTTAAGTTCTTTATGTATTTGAATGTACATTGAAATTATTCTAACAACTTGAAGCTAATCTTCTCGAATATCTCGAAATGTTCCTAACATCTACGTATTTCAACAAGTTATCAGTCTTTGTTTTAATATATAATTATGTCTATCAATCGCACAAACTATTCAGGTGCATCTACGTAAAGTTTACGACCTTTCGCTGTACAAGTTTAAAAAAAGTACAATCTGAGACATCGTGGTGGCTGACAATTTACATTGTAAAGAAAGAACATTATTCAGATATCAATTCCTGAATTGCTAACATCTAACTGGAGATTACTCAATGTTTATCGTTAATATCGATCAAGAAATAAGAAACGGAAACTCGCTGAAATACTTTGTGCTGAAAATTCGATATTGTACCAAAAATATAATAATAAAATTTGCCTATTTATATTTTAAGACAAGTCACTTCTCTCTTAAAAACCAATCTATCAATTTTACATTTACGAGTGAAACGCTATATCCCACAATTATAATTATCGATTACTTACAACACTACAATTATTAGGACTAAACTGCTGTACAGTTTTAACTAAATAACTTTGATTTTGAGACTAGTAAATCTTTTCACAATTCATCCATTAAGACAAGAACTTTCATTGTTTGAAATCTCATGGTACTCTAGATTTTCAAAGTGAGTACATAACTAGTCGATGAGGACAGTGATCGAACAATTCCAGCTTTTCAGATGTAGGAAAATATTAGAATTCTTTTTCATGTAGCCCACTGTCATGAAGCAAGAATTTTCCTACAGTCACACTTGTACTCAGAGGATAAATTTAGTACATTCATTGTCTAACGCTGTCCCTGTTAGAAGTGGTGTAATACAAGGTAGTGTCTTAGGTCCTTTGCTCTTTTTAGTGTTTATCAATGATATTTGTGAAAGTTTTTGTGTCGGTAAGCCCCTTCAATACGCAGATGATCTTAAAGTAGTGTATTCGTTTTCTCCACATGAGCTGAAAAATATGCAAAATTGCATATAAACTATCGTTTACATCCAATCACGCGATTCAATATGCAGAAACTTCTCATTATGACATCCGTAATTCCTTGGCACTAGTGAAACAAACTCATTCTAAATCATCTCTTTATATGAATTACTTCACCTGTAAATTTTCTAGAGTATGGAATAACCTACCACAATCTATCTGCACGATAAAATCACTCCAATTATTTGTTCGCTGCATCGATGCATACTGCCCCTCTGAAAATGCATTGAATGGTCTAGCACCTGCAAGTGTATCTCATTCCACAAGTGATATTTTAGGAACTTTAAGTGTTTAGCCATCTTTATTAGTGAATCCTCTAAGTAAAACCACCCACTTGCTGTCAATATGTTAACACCGTCCCTAGCAAGTTTAACTAATTTGAATAACATAAGCAGTATATCACTGTGTCACATGACATACGCATTTAGGTAGACCTGACTCATATATTTTGGTAATTACTGCTTTGTTTTTCCGTGCTCTGTGTTTTCGTTTTAATTTCTCTAGTTGTAGATAATTATCATTAATTCGATCTGGCACACGAATTGACCTTAATTACTCCGTTAATAAATCAACAGGCTGTCCATTTAGGAAATATTAAAAATTCCCGGCTGATGCATTGGATCACTGTAATGTATGTACTACCTAAACAATTACTGAACTGGTTTACTTAAAACTTTCTTCTATCACATGTTTGTTCTGTACATCTAATGTTCCTTTTATATCAAATTGATCATGCCTGTGAACTGGCGTGAATTCTGTAATTATTATTTTCAGAATATAAATTATTATTATTATTATTATTATTATTATTATTATTATTATTATTATGTGTATTGAGGACATTATGTTATTTGGTTAATTTGTGGTGTATGCTACTTATATTGACATAGGTAGTATGTGATGTTAGTCGTGAACCGAAGGTCTGGCAGAAGAGAGATAAGAGGATCGAACAGTAAAGGATGGGAACAGGATGAAATTTGTATGAAAATGCAAGAACAATAAAGTCTGAGTCATTTTGAGACAATTGGTAGAGATTTTGAAAGTTAAGCATTTATTTTATGATTGTTAGATTTTATTAACAAGTCCTGTAATTTTGTGTTAAATACATTCGGTTATTCCCACGGGTGTTCTTGTTCACTACAAATCTAACAAGTGATACATGTAACAAATGTCACACAAGGTAACATTTAGAAGCTACACATTAATCATCTGATTTTCTACTGTTAGCTTAATGAGAAAATAGCTTTATTTAAGTCGACTACATAATAGCAAATACGATTGTAATTTAGCTCATAAATATTGTTAATCAATGTAGAATGCATGAAAGAGCACATATAAGTAAAAATTAAATACCTGACAATGAATGAATCGTATAAAGCTAATCATCAGTAATAGGTGCAGATATAATAATAGTTTAACGTTAGATAACAACATTTTAGATCATAGATTAATAAGGTGTAGAAGTTTGCTCACTTACGATCTTGATTGATTGTACTAAAAGACCTATCGTTGAATTAGTGTGAATCATTGAACCATATAACAATTGCAATCATAGGTTGGTTAGAGAGATGTATGGAGAATTGTAATTTCGATAAATAATAAGAGATCAGATGTTATTAACTGATATTTCCGCAGTTCAGTAAGATGGGATGGAAAAGAGCAACTACACTTACAGATTCGCATTATCCGGTGAAATTCACTGTGATTTCTACATAAGTTCAGTCAATAATCATACAAGGACCGTAGATTGACATCCTTCAACAAAGATTTTATAGACAACTAATAACAAGAACATACAAGTAAGAATGGAAAAGAAATATTTTTAGAACGATAATAACTTATTAAGGTAATCTATTACCTGGAAGTTATAGCAGACTGAGTTGAATGAGAAGTAGAAACACCAAAATCATGATCAACACCAACAGGTTTTCTGGGAGCAATTAATTGGTTAACATTCTGAGATGATTGTTCATTTAACGCTATGGTACTGCTATCAAATCCATGAGAAACACCAGTGCCGGAATTCGATGACTTCAATGAAGGTACAGAACCCGTAGTAGATGGACACTGTGAAGAAACTTTTATTCCGAAATTAGGTGGAACATGAGTTACACGAAACGAGGCTGTCATGCAGAAAGTAATCGAAAAAATGTGGACAAACACTCTACGTTGTAAACGTGAAGAAATTTCATTTTTAATTAAGTTAATATATTAAAAATAACACACCATACATTCAGTGTGTTGACTAATGTGATCAATAGAAAAAGGTTAACTAAAATTAATTAGAAAGAAAATTGTACGATAATCTATAGTGCACAATATGAATAAATTATTAGGTAAAAAGTTTTGATACGGGCCAGTGTGGACTCAGACATAAACTAATATTTCAGTCAATGATTACAACAATTAATAGGTAATATATATTCAGCTTCGATTCGACCAATAGTGTTAGGGTAGACACTCCGTACAACGTTAATGTACTTACTTGGAATATCTTTTATAATTGATTACTGTAAAGAGAATTAGGGATATATCTTGATGAAAAGTAAAGAACGAACAGAGATAGATTAAGCTACTGTCTAGTGCTTTATAATCTTCGTATTCCTTCAGATGATGTAAGAAATATTGATTACAATCGTTTAAATCATTAAAATCAGCACTAACAATCTCTAATACATAATTGCTGTCAGATTTGAAGGTCATGGGTTTAATCCCCAGTAAGGCTGTGAATGTGCACTGAATAGATGAATCCAATACTATGGTAAAACAGTTATCTGCCGTCGCCTAGTTTTCAATATTTTCTAATCGAAGTTAGATCAGGTAGTGAAACTCCAAACTTCATAATCAATTAGGTTAATTCATGATTGTAAAACTACAAAGTTATGTATGAAGTAATGTATCAAATCAGTCGTTACCTTGCTCTTGACCAAATAACTGTTCTGCATTTTGGATAAGAATATCTACTAAATGAATTCCTGGACCATTGCTTTGTAAGAAATCTAAAGATTTTCCTCTGAATACAAAAATAATAAAAGTAATTGAATATAGTGTTATAACATTTCATTAATAATAACAGTCAATAAATGATAAAATAATGATGTATTTGTAATATTCCAATGGGTGGAAAATTGAATTCTTACATATTGTGACTGTATAAGTTTTATTACCACAAGGAATATCCATCCAGTTCTTAATTTATTTCTAAATTAAAAACTTAAACTTCAGTAAATCAACAGTTTTCAAGAAAAGAACAATTAGAAAAAGTAACAATGATGCAACGAATTTGTAAAAATAGATTAATTAAAATACCATAAACTTAGTTCCACTTTTTTTAATTGTGAAATGAGCAGAAGCAAACAATCGAGTACAATAATATGAATTCATTTTATTTTGTTAGCATCTCATCAGCTGTTTACAACGTTTATTTTAAAATCAAAATTATTAATGTAAGTTAACAGACGAATAACAGTGAAATTTGTTAGATGTTGTTATGTATCATGGTGGAATGGTGATTCCAATGAAGGTGATGAAATTGAACCCGATCGTTGTTGCTAACTTGACGTGGTGGTCGGGCTTGCCTATCGTGATGAAGCAACCGAACTATACTGGCTGGAACAACTGTTCCTCAAGGTCCTACCATGTCAGACAGGTCGGTTGAAGAGTGGTAAGACTAAAAGCAACAAACCCAAGGTCCGAAGGCGAAGTCGTATTGCTGACTGTACAGAGGTGTGACAACAGTGAGGTGTTTCCTTTAGACAACCAGCATAACAGAGATGCTGCCTTCCCACAAGGAGGGGCGGGGTTAGAAAAGGTCGATTCTAAGAATGCACACCTCACCTTATCCCACGGACATCCGTCTCCAGCGGTAAGGTCTCAACAAGTACGGAGCTAACACAAAAATTACCCATAAAAAGGTCGTGTGTGACCGACCTCAAGCAGTTGTCCCTTGGGCACTGAGGTCACGTTACCAGGTTACTAAGACCACCTTAAATCTAATCTCCTTTTTAGGTACCTGCAGAAGAACCCTTCCACGGTGTGGGCAACCGGGAAGTGGTAACCGCCCTCATACCTCTAACAGCACTCAAGACCACTGTATTCATAATCAAACTCCGACTGACTGACTGATGAAATTGAAGAAATGTACTGTTATAAATAAACAGAATATATGAGAGAGGAGTCTGGATCAGCAAATATGGTAATAAGAGACCACAAAGCTATAAAAATACCTGATTACACAATGAAGTAACTAAACACACATTAATAGGTTAGTAGAAGCAACATGAATTAACATCAGTCAATTAGAAATGAAATTATTGGCAATACGAGAAAGAGTTAGAAGAATGATGAAATAAACTGACGATAACGTCACTATGGTAAGAAGAAATATACATTTTATGTGTATGGGTAATGGGTTTGAATCCCAATATGAATATTACCACTGAAATGTAGGAACATCCAACTGGAAAACCCTGAGTAAGAGCAAATGCATAGTATGGATTTCATTGCTAACCATTATCCAACCCTTGAAGGAAGATGAGAATAACAACTTTACTCATAAAATATTGTTACTCCAATTAAACAGAAGTCATATAGTCACTAAAATTTATAAGTTATATATATATATATATATATATATATATATATATATATCGTATTTTAGGCTGCATAGTTACGCTGACCTTAAATAACGAGACTATGACCAATCACACTTATGACCTAAAAGAATTCTGTATTATTTACAGTACGATAGAATGTGTTGTCGTTTTATAGGCCCCTAATCAATGAATTTATTATCATTTGTGCAGCCTGACTAATCAGTCTAACTAATAAACTAATCAACTTAACGATCTAACAAAACTTGAAATAGAAGTTATTTGTTTAAAATTACGACAAATTGTAGTTTGATTTGAGCGGTTTAATGGTGATTGGTCAAATTAATAGATTGTATTCGTCAAAGATTGGTAGTAGATGGTGTAGCAATGAGAATCAAGGAGCAGTGAGAGGGTATTTCTTCCCAGTTTGTAAGTTAGCTGTGTAGAACCATGATAGTGATAGCTAATCATGAATACGAGCATGATCATGAAAACTGGAGTGAATATCTTTCAGTAATGTGACATTGTTGCTAGGGTTAGTTTTTAGAGAATCATAATTAGATTAGAACTTTCAAATATCAGGATGTTTACCATTACTAAGCCTTAAAGTTATGATAAACACTAATATGTTCAAGAAGTTTACGGCTTTCCGCCAGAACAAAATAGACTAATCACGCCCAGTAGTCTTGAATGTCGACGATGCAAAAAAAACACACAAAGCCTTTACAAATAAAAGTAGTGGACCATCAAGAAAATATACTATGCCATGATGTAAGGATTAATATTGAGATCTACGCATAATAACTGGATTAGCAAAAATAAATTTAAAGATTCATTCAGACAAAAATAAAAACAATTGCTTACAAGTCTTCAATTTGTCGTACTGAACTGCCATTGGCAATATTATTACCAGTACCCATGGAACAGTATGAAAGTCTATACACGTTTGGTGCAATCACTATTGATAAATTATCAGAAGTCATTTTATTCATATCTGATTGACTAGACAATTTCTGCAAGAAGCACATTAAATAGCCTAAATTTAAACGAAACTCCTTAGGCATTTTTTCAAGGCAACTATGAATTAACTGTAGATTAACCGCTGCTGAATTCGGTCTATAATTAAAAAGAGGAAAAGACAGAATGAATGATTTGTGTGTTAAAATAGTGATAGTAAATACAACTAAACTATTTCTAATTGTATGCAAGAATTGACTACGATTGAAAAAGGTATTATATCGAACTAGTGCTAATTTTTTTACCTAAGCATGAATAATTTTAGAGAGAACCTATTGAAAGGAAGTTGGGTTATTGAGAAAATCCCTCTCCAGTGATTGTGAACATGAGTATTTAAATTTGGAATTCAAACAAATAACTCAACTTATAATGCAATGAGGTAATAAAAACTTAAGTAATCACTAGAGCTATTTTGAGAGATACGTCGGGATCATCTGCAGTATGATTAATTGATCGATATTTTTTACTGTACTGTGAAATTTTGATACAATCATTACGAGAGTAAGCACCAAAATGTCGGGAGCCATGTGATTTCTTTTAAGCAACTATATATCATTATGAAAGGGTCCCCAAACAAAGATGAATCAGTTTCCGTATCGAATAATTTTCGAATTCAAAACAGGAAAACTAAAATGTAGATAATCATGGGATAACGAGTTCGTCTGTTTAGTTAAATTGCCCAAAAGAAAAAACATAGCCATCTGAATATAAAATTATCTCAAAGATCAGAAAAGTACTAAAGAATAAACTATGAGGTGGTTACAGTTTTAAAGAAGGTATATAATGTATAACGTATTGAGAAATGAATTCGGGAAATAAATCGAGTTCCGATTTTCTCGGAACAAGCAACCTCCAAGGTCATCCTATGACTAACTTGTCGAAGCCGTACTAAAATCTCAACCCGTGTACGGTTGTGATGGATGGATGCTATTGAGGTTTGTCGAATTAGAACAAAACAAACTCATAGGACTATCTTACATCTAGTAGTTCTCCAATTTAACAGAATAAGAATTAACAAAAATGTCTTTAATTATATTAGTAATCTTATGTGGGTTCTTCACAGAAAATATTTTAATAATGGTGAGCAAGTTTTATGATTAATTAACTGACAAACAGAATGCTTACTAATAGATGATGAGCAACTAAACAATACGATTGACTGATAGCTATTTAAGTTCTGAAAAGAGCAACTGGCAGAATAGGTTTCTCTTCGAGCAAGGTGATATACCTTTACACAAAAATCAAACTTGATTCAATATCACTGAATAAATAACCGGTTGAAAAAAAGGAATTTGGAGGTCACTCATTCGCTAAAAAGATTTGAAACCTGACTAACAGACTCAATTTTTACCTACTAAATATAAGTACTGAAAAAATGTCACCAAAATGCTACTTTTGATTTTGTAAGTAGCATATAAGAAAATGGACATATCTGTTAAATGTTTTCATAGATAACATAAAATGATTGGCGAGATAAGCAGAAATTTACGATGCATTTTGTATAAAACTTTATCTAATCCAAATTTCTAATAACGATCATTGGCGTATCATTAATACCATACGTCGATGACATAACGCAGTCATCATCCAGGAATACACAAACCAAAAAATATTCACAATTTGAGGGAAAAATATGATCATTCATTAAACGCAACACATCTTTTTTTCTTACAATAAAAAATAAGGTGTTTCTACATGAAATATTTTATCCAAAACAGGAAGTTACTTTTTAGAAGCAGCAGCCCATTGATCAGCGAAATCATAAGTGATTAATGGTTCAGGAAGACTAAGCAAATATTGTTTCAAAGCAGCAGCAACAACAGCACAGTCACATTTTCTAAGTAAATGTTCATCGATTTGCATGATATTTAAAGCTTTCTGAATAATGATATAAAAAATGTTATTAACAATAAAAATAATAATAATAATGAAGTAATGTACAGAAAATGTCGATATGTTCATATCCACCAACCCGGTTTAGGCGACGTCCTCTCAATTTTGTAATTATCAGCCATCCGCGAGAACGCAGTAAGTAGGACTTCCTTGGCAGTGGCTGTATACGCGTAGCCATGTGAGAGCATTTCGAGCGGGAGAGCAGAGTCTCCTCACCCTCGGCCGTACCAGGGCATTTGGGGACTATTATCAACATCATTATCACAGCTGAACTGTGAAAATTCAAAATGAAACACGATTAGAGATAACTCTTCATCGTAGCAAAATTGAGAGGAATGAATGGCAAAGGTGTTATCATAGAAGAATTTCTCAAAATCGAAAAGATAAACCAATGAATTCTAACTTCATGATCTGAACACATCATGAAAATCACGTTCTATAATTGATTGGTCGCTGAATAGTGATAAATACCATGTTTGTCAACTGATATCCTGTCGACGGACTTGCAATGTCGCAACTAGTATAAGTAAATCAACATATCTTGTACTCTGTAAAGATACCAAATGGTTGTAGGTAATCGGCAGGACATTGATGATCACTTAGTGATCAATCAATCGTATCTCAGTATCATTAAAGATAAGTCGCAGCCCAAATAGTCAATTATAACATCTCAGACTGTGAAGCTGGATAATGCAGATACAAATGCCACAGAGAGCACCGATTCTCCTAAGACAACCGGCTCGCCTTTCTGAAAAGTGCATGAAACAGGGTTTCCTGCCCACCTTTAACCGCCTGACATGAAACACCTCTTAACAAAACAAGCAAATTTAAGGTGGATCGATTGCATGATACAGTGGTGTAAACTATCGACTTCAAAGCGCTGTATTACAACTTAAGCATCAACCTACATCTAAGTTTAAAAATTGAAAAGATAATTGTTTTACTAGGGAACCCGTTACGTACGTACATAATTTTTGTGGCATTACTTAACTAACCTCAACCCGACCGCTAAGCATGTGAAATAGTGTTAAGAAAAATAGTATTCAACTTTTATTTACCAGTTTTTAAGGTTAAGGGAACTAATAATGAGATGTCGAACATGAGATATAAACTAATAATGAACCTATGAGTAATTTTCAAATCGTTATAACGAAAAAAATATGTCCTTCCTATGAGATTTCAATTCAAAACGTTTATTAATGTAAGCAGCAGCCAGTCACAACGTAGAGCCTAGCACGTAAGTACGTCAGCTCAAAATGCCATAGACCATTAGTACAAATAGATGAAATTGGCAGGCCAAATCTGTGAATGGCAGAGGTAGTAATAGTATCAGTGGTAAAAGGAAAGGTAAGGTATCGAAAATACCGTTTTGTCGGCTCAGTGGTCTAGAGGTTAGGCGTGCGCGTGCAAGACCGAAAGATCTTGATTTCGAATTCCTTGTGAAGGATTGTGAATGAGTACTCCTGGAGAGCCTCATACTAGGATGAAGCGGTTGTCCAGTGGTTCCAGCTTTTCGGTGGTGGTCTGATACTGATAAATTCATGATTTCAAATAAATTTATATCACATCAAGTGTTTTATTTGTTGAGATACTAAATGTTGGAGAAATAAAACATAAACACCATGCCGAAATGAAAGATAGATTTCAATTCATGGAAAATGCTTGTAGCAGCTGAACTGATAAAAAGTGTTAATGGTTGGTTGAATACTGATGACAGATAATGACTGCAGAAAAAGATTTTTAAAAAGTGTTTTGAATAATTACTATTTGAATGTATATTGAAAAGATATTTGTTGTAACGTCGCACAACTGGTGCTGAAAATTCTTCACTGTACACGGAATTTATAGCACAGGATAGAGCTATTATCAATATTATTGTCATGATTATTATTATTTTTATAAGGAAATACATAGGTAATCATAGGAAATGTCCACAATATTATTACTTGTTAACATTTTTACAGTCTACAATGAGTATTTTTACTTACTACTAAGAGGTCTGTCCGTTTTTGGGATCCAGACTTTCGAAAAAGACCCTGAAACAAATAACAGGATTCACATGTTACAAATTTAAATGATGTACTCTGCCTTAAATCTGGCCAATTTTATGGATTATTAATTTGGATTTATAATTGTAGAACCTGATGAGAAATTATTGGAAAGAATATTCTTCGTTCATGTATCTGTGTTTTAATTTAAAAATAATAGAATAACACTAATAATATAAGATACAGCATACAAACAAATAATGGATATATAGAAAAGCCATATACCAATGAATTAGTTTATTGAAATCTAAGATCTATATCAGTAGACGTTCCAGTATCAAACGAGAAATTCTCGAATGTAAAAATGCAACAAATAAACATTACCACCTTATTGGCACTGATCGATTGAAAATCGACACCATATAACATTAGTAATCACATATTGAAATCAAACAAAGTTCTTAAAGATTACAAATATTTTAGGAAGTGACTGGTTGTTGTGTAGATATTCACAGACAATTGTTTACTCGAAAAATGGAACTCCTGAATAGTCAAACGGAGTGAAAACGATCGACTAACATGGGCGATAAGTCATCTGGCCCTAATTGTAGATGAAAAATTGAAGAAAGGAGTTATTCTATGTGAAAAGATTAATCTGTTTATGATACTTTATCCCAATGAATTGAAAATGAAAAACTCAATCAATCAGATAACATATATGATTACGATCTGCTAATATTGGTTAACTGAAATCCAATGTCAACTAACAGTTCCATATACATTCAGTAAAAATTACCATTGAATAGTATGTAACCACCTTGATACAGCTAAGGTAACACTGGATACTGGTTTGTATGGCACTAGTGAAGCAGAGATTAGTTTTACATTTTCTCTCGATACACTCACTTTCTTCTAATTAGGTGTTCATTAACAGTAATTAGTATTAAATGACAAGGTATCATTCATATGACAGGTTCAAAGTTTATTGTCTAACCAATTATCAGGATTAATACGATAATAATACAGAAAAAATAACAAACAAACAAATATACCAGGTTTTGTGTTGTTTAGATAACTTGGATAGACATAGATGAGTGATAACCATAATAAAAAGAGATAACATATTAATGCGTGCTTCGATATTGTTTCACTGAAATAATAATAATAATAATAAAATTTTAATTTAAGAAAGTAATAAAAAAATTTGATGTAAGTTTATATATGAATAACATCATGACTGTTAGAATAAACATTAAGGAATTATCAAGAAAACTGTACAAAAAACTTAAGGTAGATATAAAATATGGCGACCCACATTATACAATAGTACTTAGATACAAAATAGTAATAATAATAATAGTACTAATAATCAAATCGTATATATTTTCGTGTCGACAGACTATGTAGGTTAAAAAGTAAAGTATGTTATGTTGTAAATTCTATATAACCTATTGGTATAACATCATTAAACCATTAAACACATTTTTTCTAAAGACATCAATTTGTTTTTGAACACATGAACTTGACTAATCCGAATGGCGGTAGTTTACAAGACATGTTAATTTTATTTATTTATGATAGATATTCAGCTAAATACACAAAAAGGTCCGTTTCCAATCATGAATACCTCACGTTCAGAACTTAAATTGCTGCTTTTAGTCTCTAACCGAGCTATGTGGTATGGTAAGACATAAAGAAACAATATAGCTTGACTGTGTCATTATGACATACAAACCCGACCGTTATGTCAGGATTAACACCTATGGTCGGGCGACGAAATACAAACGTATTTATATAAATATACTTAATAGTATACAGTGAGAGATCCTCATTCAGAAAAGTGCGCTTCAGTTTGATAAGTTAGATATATTTTGGTTCAGTTTATAATTGCAAAGAAGTTCCAAAAAGGAAAAAAATAGCATAAATGAGAGGTATTTGTACACAAAGAAGTACGAACATTTGTCGTAATGAGTGTAAGAATTATGGTTGGACTCACATTATAGTAAGTGTTGACATTAAGAAATGTTCAGTTTCATTAATTTTAATACATATTTCAGTAAAAATCGTTTTTTATACTCTAATTCAAATAAATGAGTAAACGATTATACATAGAAATATATAACAAAACACCGTCTATTAAGTGGCCAAAGTGATGTGCTAATATATTTTATTCTTTCAAATACAATAAAAAATCTCGAAATCTAATCTAATATATTATATATATGTACTAACGTTAGTGAATATCAATAATTACAAAACTAAGGATAAAAATGAGTCTTGCCAACTGCTGCATCAATTAACTACTTAATGGTCATATGAAAACATGATTCGATCGAAAATATGTTGGTTGACGAGATTGTTAAGTGCTATTGAGATCGCAGACCAATTTAAGTAAGATAGCCATCAAAAACCTGGAAGCACTGAACAGTTAATTGGTTCAAGTACAAGACTCCTTAGTAGTGCGCATTCACAACACTGACACTATGGGTCGAACCCAGGACCTTTGGTCTTGAACACGAACACGCAGTAGTGTATAAGTTAAGCATTCGGACGCTAGACCGAAGGTTCGGGATATGATCCCCGAAGGCAGTGTCCTGAATGAGTACTGCTGAGGAGTTCCAAACTAAGATGGATCTGCTGAATTTCATCAGTAATAAAACCGTCTAGATAAAATAGTAGTGATTAACTAACTATATTCAGTGATCAATTAGCATTAAAATTGCATCTAGTCATTTAAGACGATCACCACCTAAGTCTGGTCATTTTGTGGTGTATGCTACTTATGTCGACAAACATAAGTAGTATGTAACACCAATCAGAAGTGGAATGCCTGGAAACAGAAGGTTAGGAAAATCGAATCGAAGAGATCGGGAACAGAGAGTGATTGCTGTGACAAAGGAACGGTGAAGTTTAAGACAATTGATAAAGGATTTGCAAATAAAAGATTAAACATATAGTCTTCACATTTTACGAAAGAAGTCTGTAATTTTCTATTGAGATATACTCGGCTGGTCAAATCTGTGTTCTCGTTCACAACAATTTTAGTAAGGATTAAGTAATCTTTTCTGTTAGCCTATTGCTACTGATAAATTCATATATGTTAATTCACTTTTAGGTGAACGGATTTATTTTACTTTTTCTTAATAATGTTTTACCTTAATAAAACATTTTTATGAGAAATCTGTTATAATTAACATGATGTTCATGTGATGTATCATTTTGTAAAATCAATTCATATACATGTATATACAACATAATCTAAAGGCAGAACCGACTCACATTCTTACATCAAGGTAGAATAAGAATTTCTTAACATTAGAAACAATACCACCAATCATAGATACATGAAAATCTATGTATATAAAAATACAGACATACAAAAATGTTTGACATTATTTTTTGACATTTATTGATCGACAGAATACACAATGCAAAATGATAACTAAGGAGAGAGAGAGAGAGAGAGAGAGAGAGAGAGAATAATGGATGTTAAGTATTCAACAATAACATTCAGAATTCAAATCTACAGTAAACGAACAATGGTGTATAAGTTTGTTGAACATTAGTTAAAGAATAATGAATACTTGTGTAAATCTATTCCATTTTTTGTTGGAAAAAAAGACACATTAAATCTCTTAAATAATAGCACAATGTGTATTAGATGTAAATTAGTTAAATTCATTAAAGTAAATTACTAAGTGACTACACATAGATATATGTTAGCGTAGTTTAGAAAAAAACATTGAGAACTTAATCATAAAGATGGCAAATGGAATATTTTAAGAAGTATTAAGGTTAAAATCGAGATAATAAATAGTAATAGTTCAAGTATACTAGCTAAAAAAAACAACGGAACATGTAATTAAGATAGGAGAATTTTTGACATTGTATATACAGGAATAGAACCCGAAAGTCCTGAGGTCGTGGATAAGAAACGTTAAGAAGTTAGGTCAACAGGAAACCTTAGATTTAGGTTTTGTATTCGTTGGCACTAGTCACCACAGAGTACATGCAATATCGAGGGAACTGATAGTCTCTAGTAAATTTGAAACTGGACCACTCAGTTTTATAAATTGACGCGCTAGTAGTAAGCTATACGGCCCGCGTATACGGCTGAAGTATTTACACTGACTGAGAAGTAGTCAATGTCATGTTTTTTAGTACCAAACTGGTATACGACAACTAATCTAAATGACTCAAACACTGCATGAACTATGTTTTGATGTCTGGTTGGTTTTAGGCGATTGAAAGAAAATCCTTGATCAAGATTTCTTGCAACTTGATCATGTCACTCGATCAGAAATAATGACAGGATAAATATGAAATTAACAGCAATCCAGTAGGGATCAGATCAATCAGTGTAAATAAAATCTATAAACCGTTAAATGAAAACACCTGCTCCTATAGGAGATCTTAATCTCAGTTAGTCTAAAGTAAGAGTAAATTTCAATTAAACGTAATTAAACTAAACTGAATGAACAGTGCAATAAGACGTAATATATTAATAATCAAAAGCGGTACTTTGAATATGTTGAAGAGTGGCCACCACACTGTCATGTCGTTGTGCACACAAACATATTGTAGATCTCTAACGGTGACTGATGATAATATGGTATATTATATCTATGATACAACCCAAAGATCATATTAATAAGCAATCTTAATTAATTGTAAAACAGTCTTTTTAATGGATTCAAACAAAATAACAAGAAAATTACATGATATATATGAAGTTTCCTGTAACATTCAGTGGCTGGATTTTTACGAACAGGTAATTTTGTAATGTAATAAAAAATATTAGAAATAGAGCAGCGATTTAATGATTGAAACATTTGGCTTTTACGTGCTGAACCTCGAACTCAAATTTTGCTCCACTCACTTCCGTAGATGCGTAATATCATTTAGTTTTTGCATAAAAAATGTAAAGGTTGAAGCTAAATGCCTAAAAATAATTGACAGATACGAAGAGAACCTTGGCGGCCTGTTTAAATATCTGGGTAACCTGTTCCTACCATCTACGTAT